GGAGCTCCTCAAGAACCAAATTTCGCACAGCCTTTGACGTAAATGGCTGCAATTGAAGACGACCAGACCGCCGTGGAGTCCTTGCTAGAGGCAACATTTGCTCGTAACATTTACTGCTGTAGTTTCTCTTCCTGTCTGCTACCACATAATTAATTGCTGTGCACTGATGACTGCTACTCTCGATCCTTCTCTATCATGTTTTCCCAATCACTTTTTCTTTCGGTCTGCCAAGGCTTAGCACCATCCAGCTTGAACGGTTAGTAGTATTGAGGCGGTCCGTAAAGATCGTTGTTGTCATTTTTCGATCACATTTCCATCTGAATATTCATTATTTGTGTCCTGAAAGCGGATGAATCTTCATTCATTCAACGCCCCGTGCAAATCTTTCATGGAAGCGAGCCACAGCGTCGAGAAAATCCCGAGTCAATACGATCCCCACCACTACTTCCTCCACATGTGGCCCAAACTCCGTGCCATGTTTACCTTTTTCTCGTTTGTGTTTTCACTTACTTAGGGCTCTAACGTTGCTCCTGTTAGGTCGTGGTTCGGGTGTTGACGAAATAATAGTAAATGCTCATCGGTCACAGCCTGTGGAAAAGGTATGGCTAATCATCTCTTAGCCTTCAGTAATTTTTTAACATAGAGATTTTCTTTCACAGTTTTTTATTATAATTCTAGTAAATACTAATATATTGCGGTTATTCGACACCTGCTGTTGCCTGACATTCGTTATAGAAGTCTTTTCGATATCGTCTTTCGATGTAAAAAATGTAAAATTCTAACATATCGCTCGTTACTCATTTTGTCTACTGTAGCCATTCAGTGATACGAGGTAGTAAGTAAATATTTAATAGTCTAGAATAAGTATTATATTAGGTTGATGCATAATTATTGCGGCTTTTTTTGCCTTATTTTACGAAAAGATTTACGTTTGTGTTTATGTTTATTACGTTACTATAGGCAAGCGTTAAAAACAATGCATCACTTGATAAGTCAAGTAAATCGAGCGCAAACTTCCACAAGAACAGATAAAATCAATAAAATTTTCGGCAACAGTTAGAACCTCATGGTAGTCAGCCTCATGAGACGCTTAGATTACTTCATATCTCAGCAAGATTTTTTCCACCCGATGCTTTGCGACGAAAGCATAGCAAGCTAATTGAGGTTAGTATATTCTTGGCTAGCTGCAGTAACGGATACCGGCCTCCACAGTATAAGCTCCTAGCACGCAGCCCTCTAACACATCCCAGGGCGGGTCAGTCTTCGTTGGCGAAGCAATTCTTCTCACGCCCGCCTTCTCGTTCTGGAGATCGGGCGTTTTGTTTTATTTTTTTTCTTGAAATTATCTTCTCTCTTTCAACTGACAGAAAAATGCTTTATGGGGAAAAGCATTCTTCACTCATTCGCCACATACGCCTCCACCATCGAGGAAAGTAGGAGAAGCCGTCTGCAGGCATTTCGCCGATCTCATTCGAACTTTTTTTGAGGAACAAATCGGCAAAAGCACGACGGTTGTAAAGCTAATCAAGCTAGTTCAAAACGGCACATTTTACGAGGCAGAGCTCGTAACAAATTACAAAACTTTCAATCAGGTCCTCTTCGAAAAAAGTGTGCAACACCGACGAACAAAAATTTTACGACGAATCTGAACGGGCTTGGTAGCCGATGTATAGAGCGTTGGATAGCTCTCAAAGCAATGGTATTTAACTCGTACGATCGACCGACTGCCAAGCAAATGGGAAGCATTCTCAGGGCATGGTGAACACGCTCAAAAACAGTCACTATGAACATGTTTTTGTTAACTTTTTTTTTTATCGTTCTCGCTGAATAAAATTTGTTGAAAAAATCCGCATTAATTATGCATCAACCCATATACTATAACAGTTTTCCTTTTCTGGCCATGCAGCATGGCGTCTGCACCTGATTCCGAGATTCGGCGCTCATATGTAATATATTGGGCACTGGTGGCTGCACCAATTGACAGTAATCGTTACCACCCTCATCCCAAATGAAGTGGAAACTTAAAAGTGAAGATAATAGTGGTTCTGCGTATTAGTTGCTCTGGATTCTTGAAAAATATGCTAGATGCATCTAGCAAGAAATGTCTCTCCCTCGACAGAGATGAAAAGATTTCACGATGCAGCTAGTTGGTTTTGAAGTACTACAGTTACACTTAGCTCTATGGATGTCACCAAAATGTAATTATAAGATGCCTAGAGTTGTCATAAAGCTGCGTGCTTCCACACCGAGAAGAAAAGATATTTCTCTTGATCATACCTAGAAGTAACTGGATAATATATAGTAGAGGGAGAAAAACTGAGAGCCAGTTTCCAACTTTGCTCTTATGGCAACCTCGGCATGTTAGTTGTAGGCCTAGTCCACATTTCTTGACGTATTTCGAATGCCTAAACGTTCCGATGGAGTTGTCGTCTTCAGGAGGTTGAAGCCACTACTGCGAAACACGTTCAACGGATCTTGGAGACGATGAATCAGCTCGAAAACGTGTCTGTAGGCCTTTGCGACTATGAATGTCACCAAACAACAGGGCACAAGACAATTACAACGGACCTAACAAGTCAGTTTTTCTCCCTTTCAGTCGCAGGCAATAACGGAAAGTTTGAACATAACGAAGCTCCTGTCACAGCAGTAACCGGTGTCTTCTGCGCGAATTTTATCCCCAATTTGTTTGTGCTCTTCTTCCTCAAAACTATTTCGATGAAATGGAAGCCGTCCAATTTCACTTTCATGATGAATGCAACTTTCGTTCGCTGTCCTGTTCTTTTCGTTTACACGTTGCCATGGACTTCAATTTATTCTGCTTTTTCCTCGTATTGTCGCCATGGACTCGTATTTTTATATTTGAAGATTCCAAAAGCCTAACTGCAATTTGGCTGTGTGTTTAGTAAGGCCATCGCCGATGTTCCAACTCTATCGACGGCTTAAATGGATTTATCAGAGTTCAACTCAAGTGCAGGGTTGCCCATGTTGCCGGACATTGGTCTCCTATACAGTGTTTGGTGGATTCTTTTCAAAGTCTTTTCGAGATGGATAACGGCACCACGGGAAAAGGGAAAACTATCGGGAATCGAACCGTCTTCGCAATGAACCAGGTGGGTCGAAATCCTTCGCAAGCAAATCACTGCTTTTATTGCTCGTTTTTAGTTGTATATTTTCTGCGTTTAATTTTTTGTTTGTTTTCGTCATTTCTCCAAGATACCCTATCATAATGGGAATCAGACAAAATGGTCCCAAACATATTTTACTTCTCCGGATGAAATAAAATAGTAATCCTAAGGAGCGATTGGGGAGGGCAAGGGGCGACAAGGGGGAAATGAGAAAGTAGTGGCGTTGAAGTTTCATAACCTTTACCTTCTATCATAGCAGTAACAGAGAATATTAAGCCTTTGCTACATCAAATGAAAAGAGCAAAGGACACGATTTTGATCAATACCTTATTGAGCTACGCCGTGCGTTTTGCAATCAGAAATGAACGTCTGGTACAGGGATCGTGCGGAGAGCCGTTTTCAGGGGGGGGGGGTGGTAACGAACCCAAAGAATACCAACGCCGCGGTTCACCCTGGTTGCCACCGCCCCAGCTCCACCAGCCAGCAGCACACAAGCGGCAAAAGAAACATTGATGAAATAAGTACAACAATATTCTGACTAATCAGCGCAAAAGGGCGTTCTCAGTCCGGAAATATAATAAAAGGCCAGAGGTTGTAGCATCTGGTAGTAGTCAACCCTTTTGGAACGCGCCATGCATTCTAATTCCATTCAAATCACAGTTGCATTTCGGATGTGATTTTGCCTGTGCCTTGCTGGCGCTAGCCGACTTACCTACAACTCGCTAGTTTTTCCTCCCAGTCAAGTCTGGTGCCAATTGCTCCAGGATGGAAGGCTGTTGGACGAGTGGAGTATGGCCCTGGTTTGATCCCCGAACCGAAATCACTTGCCACTACATCACTTCCGCCCTGTGCAAAATTTTAGGAACTAATCTTCTACCCTGAAATCTGTTTTCATCATACTGTCGTATTAACATGACAGCATGGATTGTTGCTGAGCGAAGATCTTGAGATTCAGGTGTTGGAACGAATGTTGGAGGTACGATGTCATGATCCAGAGCTTCGTATAGCCGATAAAGCTTATCAGGTGAGTGAGTCATATCTCTTCTTTTCGTGTCTGTATGAGTAATTTGCATGTGGAACGTTGATGTCAGTAGCAGCGTCAATAAACAACCAACAGCCAGCCGGCCATCCAGTGGACCACATGTGATTTATGGGGCTCACGATTATTTTCTCTGCCTAGTTATCTTCCTTCAGAGTATCTGGCGTTCTCGCAGGGGGCTTACAGAATTTTAGAACAGGATCAGGTCTTTTTGTAGCCACCAAATTGTTCCCTTTACCTTCATTTTAAACAGTCCACTTCACATCTTCTGCTCCGAAATCAATACATATTGATTTCGTGTACTTCATTCAATGCACTTTCTTTGGGTACCCAATCTATTTGAACTGTGTAGGGAAAAGTCCTCAGGGAACAACGCCAGGGAGCAAGCACTACGGGAAACGATTCAATCCCTGTGTTCGGAACAGTAGTCAGAATAAATTTAAACAAAGAATGGAAGGCTGAGTGAGACAGGCGCAAAGGATCCTGATTCTCCGCCGTCTGGCATATCAAAGTTTTTTTGTACATTCCGTTATATACTGAAATCTGCTATTCACTGTTGTGCTATGGTATCAACAGTTTACGTCAACATTACCGTAACCTTAAACCTCGTCATTCCAATTAAAATAAAACTCATTATGTCGATATATCTTTGATATGTTCAGGTCGAACACGCTAAAGAGGCGTTGATCTGGTTTCTGGAGCACCTCAATCTTACCGAGGCTAAATGAACGAACCGAGGACACACCATGGACGTGGCTCGGCTCGATGTTCTACGCTGGACAACTCTATACCACCATCGGTAGGTGTCCTGGTGCGAAGGAATAATCTTTCATATACTTCATATTATATTATCCTCCACTCATACTGATTGCAGCAGGAGGTGGTGGATGATTGCAAACCGCGGGGGGGGGTTATAATGAAAATGATGAAGCGAAATTATTGGTTGCTCTTATTTCAGTGACATTTCAGAATCGGAACTGAAAATTCATTTCTAATGGTCGATGCCGATATTCGCTAAACATGGTAATCTAGAAAATATGCCGATTTTAAACGATCATCTCTAAGCCCTCTCCCGTTCTGAGATATGTATGTAGTTTCAACTAAGGGTTATGTTTTCCGAAGCGAGATATGCTGGATTCAGAGTATGATGGCGCTCGAAACAGGTCTAGAGGTACGAACGGAACCACAGTGCAGGAGAAAAACCTAAAAAGAAACCGCGACGAGAGTGACAATAGAACCCCTTCTTCAGAACAGCAAAGGGGGGGAAGCTTGCCGAAAAGGTTTTCGGGATGCGCAACTTGCTGCTCCTTGCCTTAGCTAACATACTACGCCGGGAGCCTTACACCCATTTCGAAATTAAAGGAACGCAGGCATCCGTGGGGCGCGAAGTCAATCTCAAAGGTGGTTCAAGGGATCGGTTCCGTTCCGACTTTGCCTTCGAATGTTTGGCGAACGCTCAGCCCACATGCGAGACCTAACTAGTGATCATCAGCTTCATCCAACGCTGTCAAATTCAAGTGAGCCGAACCTTGGAAGACTGGTAGAACAGGCTTTCTCTCTGCGAAATCCGTACACAGGGAAATCTTTATAGGATAATTTTAGGAGAACTAGAAATTCGCTGTCCAGGAAATTCGAGAATTCGCTTGGGAAATCTGCATTAGAATTCGTATTTTTTTGGGGGAACGTAAAAAAAAAAGAATACGCGGTCCCGCCGTTAGCAGCTAGTCTGCGGTTCGCTTATATAATAAATAAATAAATAAATAAATAATTTCAAATTTCAACCTTAATTATTAAAATAGTTTAATACGGCTTATATATGTATATGACAAATCATGAAAAGTGAAAGAGAAAACAAAGAGAGCCAAGTAACACGCGATATCAATGCAATTGAAATGCGCCACGCACTCGACTACTATCAGATTTTCCCATGAAGCTGAATAGTAGTCGGTGTGAGCCTTCTTACAACTGCTTTGCGCTGATGCTCTGTATTTCGTGGCATCAGAGTTCAGATGCACTTTTTAAAAATATACTCAACACACTTATATTAATACCCAACACAGTGTATACATCAGCTCAAATTTTTCAGGCTATGGATTTCCTGCCACAAGTACAGCTGCAGGACGGGTCGCCTCTATTTTCTATATCTTGTTCGGTATCCCAATATTTCTTATTATCTTGAAGGTAAATACGAATCGTTGATAATCTAACAACCTTTCATTTTCATAATCAATTTATCAATACCTCCAATTGGGAGCCTTTCTAGGATATAGGTCGCTTGATGTCAAGAGGTTGTCGCAAGCTTTACAAACGGTTACGGGCGTCACGACGCAAAATTGCAGACTCCAGATCAGTGCAAAGTGTCTCGCAGTTCATTTCGGTAAGTCGCACTGAACTTCAAGGTTAGGCTACATTTTCTCATTGATTCTTCTCCTTATTAAGAGGATCTACAAATCAAAAGATGGGACCTATGAGAATGGTGGTGCTCGGAAACGTGATCTCGAACTCGGTCCTGACCAGCAGGTTTCCTCTTTACACCACTTTTCCCTCAATTTTCCTAAAGCAATCATCTTCTCTTCAGAATAAGATGAATGCTCGTCTACATGCAGAGAACGCTTTCCCGATTCCAATCGCTTTGTCGATGCTGTTCTTCTGGATTCTCTTCTCAGCCTCCCTGTTCTGTTATTGGGAACGGGAATGGGGCTACCTGACTTCCATCTATTTCTTCTTTGTCTCTATCAGGTACATTAGGATACATTCAAGAAAAATTTGCTCCCCTTGTTTTAGGAAAAGATTATCACATTCGGGAACCCATCGGCTGAATTCGGCGGTATGATATATTACTTAGACTCGAGGAAGACTTGCTCATATATGGAAAAAAGAGTAAAACATCCTAAACTATGTGTTGCTGGGGACAGCCGATTTACAATACAGTTTTCCATCCCATACGGGTCTGCTATAATAACTAATCTCGGGGAATAAGGGCTTGGTTGACTTACGTGATTGACCTAGGTGCTATGGTAGACGATTTGGGCTCAAGCGCGCCTCTAGATATCGCTGCGGAACCTGATTAGACTTTTTCGCCCGTTTATGGCGAAAATGAGACCTTCTAGAAGTCTTTTCGAAAGCAGCCTCACTAAAGTCAATAGCGCTATGGTCTAGAATGAAAGGGGAAAAGAGAGGAAACAAAGTTAAGCAATAAAAGACCAGTCCATCTAAAGTCAAGGCGATCACGCGAAGAACACGTCCAACGATAGAGTTGGTCAATCTTTGGGTTTCTGTTTCTGTACGTACTC